TTTTGCTGCCTATGTTTTCTTCTAGGGTTTTTTTTTTATGATTTCAGATCTAACATTTAAGTCTTTGATCCATTTTGAATTTATTCTTGTGTGTGGTGTAAGAAGATTGTCTAGTTTCATTTTTCTGCATGTATCTGTCCAATTTTCCCAACACCATTTATTGAATAATCTATCTTTAGTCCATCATATGTGCTTGCTTCCTCTGTCGAGTATTAATTGACTATAAAGATGTGGGTTTATATATGGGCTCTCTATTCTGTTCCATTGATCTATGTGTCTGTTTTTACGATAGTACCATGCAGGTTTGATTACTAAGGCCTTATAGTATAGTTTGATATTAGGCAGTATGATTCCTTCAACTTTGTTCTTTCTCAGGATTGCCGTTGCTATATGGGCCTTTTGTAGTTCCATGCAAATTTTTGAAATATTTGCTCTGGTTCTGTGAAATATGTCACTGGAAACTTTGTTTCTTTTTAAAGATTTATTTATTTATTAATTTTTAGACAGAGTGGAAGGGAGGGAGAAAGAGAGGGAGAGAAACATCAATTTGGGTTGCCTTTTGTGTGCCTCGTCCTGAGGACCTGGTCCACAACCCAGGGATATGCCCTGACTGGGAATTGAACTGTTGACCCTTTGGTTCTCAGGCTGGCACTCAATCTACTGAGCCACACCAGCCAGGGCCGTCATTGTAATCTTGATAGGAATTGCATTGAATCTATAGGAATCAATAGGAATTGCTTTGGGTATAATGGACATTTTAATGATGCTAATTCTTCCTATGCATGAATACAGTATGTGCTTCCACTTATTTATATATTCTTCAATTTTTTTCTTCAGTGTCTTATACTTTTCTGATTACAGGTCTTTTATATCCTTGGTTAGGTTTATTCCTAGGTATTTTATTCTTTTTATAGCAATTGTGAATGGGATTGTTTTCTTAATTTCCCTTTGTGTTAGTTCATTATTGACTCATACAAATGCAATTGATTTCTGGATACTGATTTTGTATCCTGCTACTTTGATGAATTCATTTATCACTTCTAGTAGTTTCTTCATGGAATCTTTGGGGATCTTTATGTACATTATCATGTCATCTGCAAATAATGACAGTTTTACTTCTTCTGTTCCAATTTGGATGCCTTTTATTTCTTCTTGCCTGATTGCTGTACCTAGGACTTCCAGTACTAAATTGGACAAGAGAGGTGAGTGCAGACTTCCCAGTATTGTTCCTGCCACTCACTTCTCCACCATCTTGGATATTTCTTGTTTGCTTTCAACTTCTCCACCCCAAACATCATGCCTTAACTTCTGATAACTCCTCTACTGCATGTGGTTTCCACATGCCAGTCTGTGCACTGGCTCTAACAATCACCTGAACCACAGGATCTCTGTCGCAGCCAATGTTTCCCAGGTGAGCTCAGCTGGCTTGGAAATTTACCTTCTTTGAGTCCTTGCCTTTACGTACTTCTTCCTTGGTGGGCCGAATTTGCCTTCTGTCTCTAGTACTTCACTTGTATTGATCTAGCCAAGATCACCAATGGTGCTCTTAATCCAAAAATTTAATGGAGGCTTTTTAATTCCTAACTTATCGAAACTCTTTGTAATTTTGTAACAATCAGTAACTCTGTCCTTTAAATTCCACCTCTCTAGAATGCTTCTGGGTCTTTTTCCTTCACTTGTTTTTCTACTATTGATGTTCCATCAGGTTCCATCCCTTGGTCTTCTCTAACATTCCTGTGCCTATACCACCCTATTCTTAAGTGGAAGCCCCCACATTTCCACATTTAAGGATTTAGTTATTGTGTGTGCTGATGATTTCTGAAATCCGTATCTTCAGGCCAGATCTTATTCCTAAATCCCAGGACCAGGTACTTGACTGTATGCTTGATATTTCTCTCTAGGTGTTCCACAAGTATATCTCAAAACCAATATGTGCAAAACTGACCTCATATAGTCATTCTGATGCTCTTAAATGACATATACCTTGACCTCTTTCTTCTTTCCTTACTCATCCTATATCAATATAGTCATATCTTCTGTTATTTCATTTTTTCCCTCCTGTTATAATATTTCTGTCCCCTACATTTTTCTAGAGTTTGTCCTTACTTTTCTGTCCCTGCTGCCTTAATTTTGGACTCATAATTTATGGATTACTGTGGGAATCACTCGATAGGTTTTTGTATTTGTGGTCCATCCTCTGTGATGCTTTCAGAGTGAGTTGTTTACTTTCATGCTTAAAACAACATAATGGCTTATCATTGCCTTTAGTGAAGTCCAGACTCTTTTTACTTGACATGCAAATTCCTTTATGATTGCCCCTTTTTACTTTCTTAAACTTATCTTCCACCCATCTCACTACAAACACCTTTAAACTAACCCAGGAGCTTCATGGTGTCCCTTGAACTTGAATAGTCTCTCAGACCTTTGTACATTGAAAATACTGTAAGATGTGGGAATGCCCTTTTTCTATCCAGGGCCACCAGCAGCCCATCATTGCCTTTGTGCAAATCAGAAACAGTTTTCCATCCAGGCAATCAGTTCTGTGGGTGTGCAGATTGGTGATAGATGGTACCTTTGGTCACCTCTGTTGTGTTGAAGCATCCCATTGTGGGATGCAAGTCATGGTGAACTGAAAGCTGGCTGTTTTTCAGCCTTTCCTATCCTCTCTGTTTGTCACCCCTGGGCAGTGAGCAACTCGTACAGTGGACTACAGTAGCCCTACTCCCATCATGCCCTTTTCCTCCTGGAAAGCTCTTGCTTGTTTAAGATTTGCCTCTCTCTAGAATTTCTACCTCTCATTAGACCCATAGTTCTCATCCTTGTATTTGATCATTAATTCCTTGGGGAATCTGTAGAAAGCTATGAGTCTACTCTTGGTAAAAATGAGCATGGTCCTAACATATAGCTCATCCCTGAACCCAAGGTTAGAAAGAACATTCTTTGTGTCATTCAACCTCTTGGTTCCCATGCCCAGGATGGGGTCTGCCACTTAGTAGGCACTAAATGAACATTTATGGAACTGTTGAAAACATTTCCTGACAAACTACTTCTGTGCATTTTCTGTGTTCATATTACATTATTTGTAAACCTCTATCTTCTAACATATTTTACATACTGTCACCATTGCTTTCTTGTCTATGTCACTAGCTAGCTCCTGAAATTTCCAGAGTAAGACATTGTTCTGTTCATATCTGCATTCCCAGCCTCTAATACAGTACAAGAATATAATAGGCATTTCATAAATGTTTGTTGAGATTCAGTTATATATTAAGTGACTTAAGGTCACCCTGTTAGTGATAGTGAACCTAAAGCTGATTCTATAATCTTTTCTTCTGATCTCATGTTCTTAGATGTTTTAAGTTTTGCATTTGTGTATATAGGTACAAGTACGTTTGGGTGACTCCTTAACTCACTATTAAATGGAAAGAGATAAAGTCTGACATCCAAGTATTTGGGTACCTATACATTGGTAGGTATTGGATACAATTTTTCAAATACTCCAGTATTTTGCAAAATACTTTTCCATAAACTTCTGAGGGATAAACACACCTCTGGTGGATGAAACTTAGCTACTGTTTTTCATGAGATGAATTCAATGATACTCTATTAGTGAAGAGATTAAAATCATTTTTCAATTTCTAACCTTGCTACAGGAATCCAGCCTTGGTCTCCAGGTGCTTGTGTGGCTTTTTGCTTCACCATTCCCAGAGTAGCATTGCTACCTCTGGTTTAAGCAATACCTAGTGCTTTTGCTGTCTGTCTCTTAGTGTTTATTTTTTCCTCACAGATGTAGGGCACTTATCATGGTTGATCACTTTTGGTTTCATGAATCAGTTTTTTTCCCCCCAGAATCATATTTATTTCAGTTTATAATTCTCTATTTGTTTGCTTCCTAGAACTGTGGTTCACTAGTAATCCAATTGCTTTGTATTGAAATCAATTCATGTTGGTTGTGGTAAATTTCCTTTGTATTTTTCTGAAAGAAAGTGAAATCATTTACTTTACCTTTCATAATGGGACTGGTAAATAGTTAAGTGTGAATGAAGAACTTTATGAAAATGAAAAAATATGAATAATTTCTGCTACTCTTTGAAAGGTGAAGCCAAACTTACATCAGGGTTTGGAAGTGATGATTTCCCTCAGTCCCCTGCCACAGGCCTTCCTGCTGGGTAAATCTGGTTCTTCTTGTTAAAGCAAACCCAGCTGCTCACATCTCCCGTGGGTTCATTTAAAACTTCAAACCTTTCCTCTGTTGTAGAACTTGTTTCAACTGCCCATTAATTTTGTTGTCTAGGAATTTTATTTGTTTTTCTTAGGCAAGTTTTTAAAAAATGACAGTTGTGTCGTAGTGAATAAAAAACAACTGTTCTATGTTATTTTAGTTGGATTAATATATGCCAGAGCCATGGTGACAGTAATATTAAATAGAAAGTTCTTTGTCTCTAAAAAACAATTAATTAAAAAAAGGGAGACCCCTTTTCTGTTTAAGTGGATGGCTTTTTAATGACATTATGCTGTTCAGTCTCTCAACAGCTTTAAATGTTTGATTCTAAGTCCAAAGGGAGTTGGGTTGGTTTATTGAAAATCTTTTGCTGAATGCATTAGTATATATAAGTTTTGTATAGACTATTTAACCATTTATTATAATTTTAATTTAGCATACTTAGCGTAGAAATTTCATCTTTCCCTAAGAACACTTTGAAAACACTGCTTAAAATATAAATGTTGCTATTGTTTGAACTAAGGAATAAAAATGTGAAATGTGGATTTGGAGATTATATCAATCAATCTGAAAGCAGGGAGCCAATGAAAGAACTTGGGGTTCCTGTCTTTCAGTATAGTGCCTGTGGGCTGTAAGTGGGATACTGGCTTGGAATCCTCGGTAGGTACTACATTGGACTATTGAGGCCACTTAAGCCTAAAGGTTTTGGCCCTAGGGTAATTTTAACATAATTCTGTTTGTTTCCCTAATAAATTACATTTTATATATGAAATTTCAGAGTGAAAAACTAGAGGAGAAAAAAAGACTTCAAGAAAACCTCAGAAGAGAAGCATTTAGAGAGCATCAGCATTAGTAAGTTTATGTTTTCATAACTTTATACCTTTATAGGCATATTATTCATTCTGCTTTTTAATCCTAAGTGATGGTAACTTTTCCAGTCCTCTGGTATTGGATAATTGGCTGTTACATTAACTATGTAATTGAACCCCTTAATTAAGTAAGCAAGGTTCTAAGGTTAGAAACATTTATACTCACAAAAATATTTTTTTAGTCAATTGGTTAGAAATAATACTGCTAAACTTGAGAAATTCTTCATTATAAATCACTTGGAGGCTTTGATTCTTTGGTGATTTAGAGTACTCCTGAGTATCTTGTCTTCTAAAACACTGACATAAGGAAGAGGGTGTTTGAAAAAAAGTATCCATGTAGAATCTAAACTAACTAGGAATTAACCTAATGGATTGAGGACTAGTCCACACATGTATTTTTGTAGACAACAATTAAGAAAATTTTTAGCAGTTATTGGCAAAACTGCCAATTTATGGTCATACACCAAGGCACTTTTTCCAGTGTGATTTGTGAATAACAGCAGCTAACGTGTATAGAGCAACTACTCTGTGCTTTAGAATGTAGATAAGTCACCCTGTTATATAGACTTTAAAGAGAAGCTTGTGTGCTAACTCTATGTAGTTAGGTTACCTGCACACTGCTTAAAAGAATGGTCAAAACCAAAGGAACATATTTCTGGCTCTAGGTTAATTACAAATGTGGTAGAATTAAAACCAAGCAGATCTGGGTTCAAAGTCCTCTCTCTGTGCCCAGATGTGACCCTGGACAAACTAGTAAACATCTTTGAACTTCAGTTTTTTTCAGAAATGGGGATGAAATCTTCTCCATAGGCAATTTGTAAAGATTAAGTAAGATATCTCCTATAAAGGGCATGAAAGTGCCTGAATATTATAGGGACTTGAAATGACACTTTTTATAGAGGTCCTTGTTGAATGGATCAGACAGCTTTCATTTTTCCAGGACTGTATGAGATTTCTGACCCATGAGATCTAGTTATCAACCTTCCACTTTCAGATGGATTGTTCTCTGACTCCCTCCTCTTTTCTCTTCCCATCATTGTACCTCCTTTGCAGAACTTGGTTATTCAAATATTGGGGTGAGCATATGTGATACCCTAAATCATCTTCCTCTTGTAAGTATAGCATGTTCTGGCTTTCTAATTCCACTGCAATTATTCTGCCTCTATTGTAAGCAACACTTTCTTGCTTTAACAATCAGAAGTAGGAACTGGAAAAGAAGTTTTTTAGCTTTTTACTTTGCCGCTAAGCAAGTTAGGTACTTGGCCTCTGCTACCCAGACTAGAAAATGAGTGGGAGATGAAATGGGGTTGGGTGGAAATGCTAATGTGTGACATTCTCTTCTCGAAGTTAAAAGAAGCATTACTCTTATTTGAGTCATAACATCCATAGCCTGTCCTTCCCTTCTCCTCTTCTAAGGCAGGCATGGGGAGGGGGACATTGTTGAGGGAACTGATGGGAAGCTAAACACCAGAAATTCTCTATCTTAGAGAGATGTGAGGAGAGAGGCAATAAATTAAGGGTGTTACTGTATTACTGATCCCAAATCATGGTAGAATATGGATGAGAATTTAATTTTAGGCCAACCAGAGCAGATGAAGGAGATAAGGAACTACCATGAGGCAATTGTAGCCTAGAGATACAAGAATAACAAATATATTTATCCTGTGGCATCCTAGTTTTACACTGGAAAAACGAGGGCTTTTAGGTACAGACCTGGGAAGTTGAATGTATCCATTTTCTGGCGTTTTAAACATGGTAAAATGGAGAATGAGAGATAATTTTAAAGAACATATAGATTGTGCCATTCATCATCCTTTCTTTCACAGTCTTCCAGTTTCTTGAATTTGTGTTTCACTAAATGCTAGAAATCAATCATTTTTTTTTCTGTGAAGAAAAAATGTTTTACCCTCAGCTACCTCACAACTATCAGAGGAGCTGAATTCAATTACATGCACATTTCACTCTTGATCTTTCTCCTGCTTATCCTGAAAGTCCCAGTTAACCAGGAAAAAAAGAGGTTGGCTAAAAATGAGAAGCATCTGAAATTGATTTTTAAAGCCTATTGAGAAACACAAGAGGTATTATGAGTTTTTTTTTAAAGAGCATTTTTTGAACTACATTTGAAATTAAAAAACCAATAGTTCCTGAAATGAATGATCATTATATAGCTAGAAATATGAAAGGAGCTTCTTCAAAAAGATGGATCCTCTGATTACAAACCTTGGTCATACCTTCTTAGAGTCAGCCTATGGGACAAAAATTGCCTAGGAGAGCTGTTAGAATTTTAATAGCACAAAGATTTCATCAGACCAAACAGGCTTGTCTCCATCTCCCTCCCCACCCTCCAAGTTAGATTCTCCTAAAGCAGTCAAATCAAAACACACAAAATAGAGACACAAGTAAGAACAAATTTTAAACTAGTCAATACCTCACGTCCTTGCCAGTTTCAGCATGCTGTGACACGTAGTTCAAATAGCAGACCAGGAAATTTTTTTTCTCTTTCTTAGAGAAGGGTAACCATGGACTTGAGCAGACTATAAATTCAAGCTGCTGGAGCAAATGCTCATGATAGCATCCTGGGGCACCACCATGAGAATTTTAATGTCCTCGCTCTTAGCACCTCGTTCCTGACTTCGTTTATTTGCTTCTGATTATTTTTAGTGTTGTCAATTATTTGGCTAACAGGCAGAAAAGTAGGCTTTTATTGACATCCAAAGGGACTCTCCTGAGTGTAATAATGAAGGCAGTTTATTGAATGCCTGTGAGGTTGCTTTCTAATTGTATGCATTAATCTGCCCAGGCAAGCTGGCTGAAAATACCCCAGCAGATTGCACGTGCAGATGGAGCACACAGGATGGTTTTTATGAGAAGACCTCTGGAATTCACTTCTGCAGTACTGTCTTTTTCTTAAAAACCGAATGACTGACTATTTCAATTGGCAGTTGAGAGCAGACCAGATTAATGGTGCATTAAGTCTGCTACTCTGTCTGGGGAAGACTCAAATTTCACAAGTTAGTGTTCTGGGATTCTTGGGCATGAAAATGAAGGGTAGAAATTGACATCTAATGTTGGTGTAGTTTTCACTATTATTTTTACTCTCTGTAAGTTTTTCCTACTTATCAAAACTCAAATGTGATACTTTTTAGGATGGCATTTTCTATTAATATTACTGGTAGATTTGAGGATTTGAAGTAACAGTTAATAAACCTTTTGCTGTTTTTTTTTAAATATCAAAGAGGATGTTGTAATTTAGGTTATTTAAAACATTGAGTGAAACCTGAGCATTTAAAATTTTAAATGGTAATTTATTTTGAGAGTTATAGTCATCTTTCTAATCGTTTTTTTCTCTTTTGATGGATATAGAGACGGGTTTAAATTTTGAGCCCATTTAACCAATGGTGGGGCCTTGGGTAGGATGCATGGGGATAGTCAGATGCATTTTGTGTAAGTGTCAGGAAAAATATGTCCTCTTAACAATTTGCTGAAGAGATAAGAACTGGGTAGCTTTCAAACATTTAAAATGTTAATTCATATTTAATAATCATTTAAGGTAATAGATTATACATTTGTATAGTTGTTTAAAAATACAAAGTGCTTGGCTTACTTAAATAGCCAAAGTAATGATAAGCTGCTGCTATATTATTGAGAACCTGTGGATGTCAGGTGTATTACGCGTTACATCTACATTTTTTCACTTAATTTTCAGATCAGCCATATTAGAGCTATTTCATCTTTATTTTACAGGTAGAGAATTGAGTAATTTGAATTGCCCCAAGTCACATAATCAGTAAGCAATGTAGCCAAATCTTGATCTAGGGATTTGAATGGTTAGGGAAAATACAAATTATCTTCCGGAGGGCAGGCTCCTTGTACTACAGGCTTCCTTGCTCTAGGAACCCATTGGTATCAGTGTGCCAGCTGGCATTGTTGTGAGCAGCTGTGTTTGGCTTCAGTGGGTTTTTTTTGAAGACTTTCAACAACAGGTTTGCATTTCATGATGGGTGATTTATGACTGCACCTGCCCACAGCATGCTGAATGTTCAGCAGTTTTGACCAAAAACAGTACGACCCCTGTGCCCCACCCTCCCTATTCACCTGATCAACTTGTTTTTGTTTCCCTGGATGAAAAAAACCCTCAAAGGGAAATGTTTTGCTGATGTAGAAGAGGGGAAACAAAAAATGGCAGACGGAATAAAAGGCATCAAAATCGAGTTCAAAAACTGTTTTGAGCAGTTGAAAAAAAATGTCTCGATAGGTATATTGCATCAAACAGAGAGTACTTTGAAGGTGACTGAAGTTTAAACGTGTAAGAATATATACACAATTTTTTTATAAATAAATTCCATTTTTTGGTCCCCCCCGCCATAGGTAATTTAGAAATATGGTGCACTTTGAAGGTCAGGAGTATCTGCCTAGGGCAGGGGTGATAAGCACTGTAGCAACACAAGAGACCTGTGGAGAAGACTCCGGGGTAGGTCAGTGCATAGAGAAAGACTTGGGCAAAGTTGACTTTTGTTTCCTCCAAACAAGATCTAAATTTTGTCTAGTGAAAGAAAAACTGAGCAAGCATGTCTTCTCTAATTTTCATTATATGTGAGTGACATCCTTTTCCAGGTCAAACACTGAGTTAGTACCACTATTAACCTTATTTGTAGGGTATATGGGCTTTTGTGACCTCCCTTTCTATGCTCTATACCTAGGTTCAGTTTCCAATATTTTTTTTTTAAAAGTTCATTTAAAAAAATACATTTTATTGACTGTGCTATTACAGTTGTCCCAATTTTTCCCTCTTTGCTCCCATCCACCCGGTACCCTCCTCCCTTCCAGCAGCCCTCCCACTTAGTTCATGTCCATGGGTTGTACATATAAGTTCTTTGGCTTCTCCATTTCCTGTCCTATTCTAAACCTCCTCCTGTCTATTTTGTACCTACCAATTATGCTTCTTAGTTCCTGGACCTTTTCCCTCATTTTCCCCTTTCCCCC